CTCCCGTCACATTTGAAAGATGGTTGCCCCAGGACATCCAGAAGAAGCTGACCAATCCTTCATTTTGCAGATCTTTTTTAAAGAAAGGGAACATTTCCCAGAAGCCTCCAAATGCATGCCCCTCATGTCTCACTAACCAGGACTGGGTAGGTGTCAGGCTTACCCCTAAACTCATCACTGACCTACAGAATGGGGTGACCCTGGCTGGTTTAGACAATCAGGATTTATGATTTCCTCCAGTCACAGGGGAGGGCAGACTCTGAAACAAAATCTGGGCTATTGGGCTGGTGATCAACAGTGCCTGCTGGAACTGGAAAATAATCTTTTTTTTTTTTTTTTTTTTTGGAAGGGGGTAGGGAGGGGCAGAGGGAGAGGGAGAGAGACTCAGGGCTTGATCTCATGACCCTGACATGATGACCTCAGTTGAAATCAAGAATCAGACGCTTAACCGACTGAGCCACCCAGGCACCCCTGGAAAATAATCTTTATGGTTCAGTTCAACTCTGTCTACAGTAATTGCTTAGACGTTGAAAAGGAAGGTCCATTATTACCTTTCTTGTCTTAGATAACCAAAGGACATCATGAACTTAAATATATCCAAAATGAAACCACGGACATTTTCCCTCAAACCTGCTCCACTTACAGTCTTCCCAACCATCTTAATTATTAACAACTTCACGCACTGGGCCAAAACTCTGGAATCATGCTGGACCTCTCTCCTCTTGCACCCAACATCCCAACCATCAGCAAATCCTCTTGACACTGCCTTCAAAAATCGGGGCCCAGGAAACAGGGATTTTGGGGGAAGGTTTGCATAAAACCCAGCTATGCTCCAGCATCAGACTAAGGAGCATCTGGAGGCAGCATCCTTGGCATGGAATTGGGTGTCCTCATGACGGGCAGTAGCAGGGATGAAACTTCTCCAGGTAGCTCTGTGGACTATGGATGGGGACAAGGAGCCAGAGCATGTGAAAGCTGTAGCTGATACTCTGATTTGTGGACACGTGAGCTGCTACTTTGGATATGCCCGGAAATAACTAAGGACACCTGGGGATGAGGAGAAGGGCTGGTGGGGACTTGTGCCAGGAGGAAAATGCAAACTGCCTTTATTTGTGGCTACAGGCTAATCAGGCTCTTCGGGACTACCGGTGGATAACTACAAGTATGTATGATGGAGATGGCATTGTGAAAATATATAAACTACTGTGTTTTTGTTTCTCTCTGAAATCACATTCCCTGGTAGCCTCCCACTCGAAAGTCTGAGTCATGGGCCTTTTTGTCCCAGAAAAGGAGAGGCTGTTCACCCCCAGAACAAGGATGTAATTGCTTTGAGTGCCAAAGTAGACTTTCCTGAGGCTGTAGCATGGAGTGACCAGCCATCCTGGTTTTTCTAGCACAGTCCCATCTACACTTGTGGTCTTAGCATTATTTTAAGTATCAATCCATTTTACTATCAAAGGTGTCCCAGTTTGGACAGTAAACTATAGAATCACCCCACTTTAGAAGATAATAGTTTGAAAACCTTTTCTTGATTCCTTAGCATCCATTAACAAATCAAAAGTCAACCCTTATAAAAAGAGTATAGAATTTTACTATAAATCAGGGGTAGCAAGAAATCAGCATTGAAGGTAGAGATCAGTGGTTCTTAAAGTGTGGTTAGCAGTCCAGCAGCAGCAGTATCTCCCGGGCACTTGATAGAAATGCACATTCTCAGGCCCCATCTCGGACCTGCTGAATCAGGAACTCTGGAGGGTGGGGCTAGTCATCTGTGCTTTAACAAGCTCTCCAGGGGGTTCTGATTCAGAGAAAGTGTGAGATCCTCTGAGGTGGAACAAGTGGAACACTTTCTTCAATACTGTGGGAAGAGAGGGAAAAGGAGAGCTACAGGGGAGACAAGCAGTGTGAGCCACATGGGTCCTTACTTCCTCTTTCCCTGTGAGTTCTTTTTTTTTTAAGATTTTATTTATTTATTTATTTGAGAGAGAGAGAGCACAGGAGCAGGAGCAGAGGGAGAGGGAGATGGAGAAGCAGACTCCCCCTGAGCAGGGAGCCACATGTGGGGCTCCATCCCAGGACCCTGGGATCATGACCTGAGCCGAAGGCAGACGCTTAACCAAGTGAGCCACTCAGGCGCCCCTCCCTGTGAGTTTTGAGGGCAGAGGTAGAAACACCTAGATAGAAATGAAAGATCTTGAGAACTTTAAGAGTGGCTAGTGGCTAGTGGCCTACTTTAAGAGTAGAAGAAGATCAAAGATCTTGGAGAGGGTCCATGGGAGAGATTTCAACATGGTGCCAGGCCAGCACAGCTGGGTGTGGAGGGTGATGTAAGAAGAGGGAAGTCTGAAGAGCTTCACATCACCTATGCTTAGCACCTACAGCACCCAGAAGTTTCTGTGGGCCCAGTATTGGATTACAAAAAAAAATGAGTCAACTGGTAGACTAGCAGAAGACTGGGAGCAGTGCAAAAAAGTGGGCACTTGGTGACAAAGCAAATGGTCTGAACCACAGACAACAGTGGTGGGACCAGTCACACCATGGCTGTCACCAGTCCAGAACCAGACTGGACCAGCTGCTCTGCAGCTGAAACCAACAAGGTTCCTGGTGACATCACATGGATGGATAGGAGGTGCTTTCCTCCAATGCTGCCAGAGATGCCCAGAGTCTATCCTGGAGTGCAATCACAGGAATGGGAGGAAACTCAGCATCTATCAGTGAAACAGGAAACTGTCCACAGTCTAAGGAAGGCAGTCTGGAGCACTGTGGTGTTTGGGATAATTACAACCCCTCTGGAAAATGACTAGCATTTATGAGAAAATAATTGAGCAATTTTCTCATAGACTCTGATGAGATTAAGAGCCTCTGTGGGCAGTTAGATTTACCTATATTGTCTTGTTATGAATCACCTGAACTGCTAACACCATCAGGCTGGCACTGAATAGACCACTGTTCACCTGAAAGGCCTTTTTGAACCTAATATTAACAATATTTTTAGTCACCTTTACTTCTATCAAAAGTTTCTACTAAAAAGAAATCTCTGAACTGGCTTTATTTCAGGCCTTGTTCCCCTGCAGCACTTTTTTTTTTTTTTTTTTTTTTTTTTTAAGCAGGCTCCATGCCCAACATGGGTCTTGAACTCACAACCCTGAGATCAAGTCACATACTCTACCGACTGAGCCAGGCAGGTTCACAACCCTGCAGCAATTTTAAATAAAATTTTATGTGTGCTCATAATGAGTTCATAAGAAAGTTGTTTTAGTATCTAAAAGACTCTGAGTTAAGCTAAAGTGGTGGTTTTCAAAGTGTGGTCTCTGGGCCAGCAGCATTACCTGAGAACTCACTAAAATGTAAATTCTCCAGCTACACCCACGTCCTAATGAACCAGAGACACAGGGGGAGAAAGCTGACTTCTGGCTATGGTCAAGTGAAAAGGTCAGCAAATCCTCTCCCCAGAATGCAACTATAATATAAAGCTAGACAAAATTGACAAGAATGACCATTTCAGTGCTCTGGAAACCAACCAAAGGCAGATGACAATTTGAGAAGTGTTTATGCTTGAAAACTGCCGAACTGTGAGTAAGAATAGTAGATGTCTGAGGCATTCTGGCCTAGCACTTCTTCCATCTCCTCCAGCCCAGTGGGTGGAGGGGTTCTGCTAGGGCAGGACAGGTCATGAGGACTGGCAGCTATGCCACTGCGGGCTCACAGGATTTGGTGTAGTGGGTGATGTCCATGGCCAATGGCACTGTCAGTGGAAGTAATGACAGCCTTGCCTTCCAGAAAATACTACAGGAAGTCCTTCAGACTGAAAGGAAGTGACATCAGAGGGCAATTGGATGCACAGGAGAGAATGAAAAGCACTGGAAAAGGTAAATATGTGGGTTAATATAAAAGACTTATAAATATATTTGCCTCATTTCTCCTCTTAATTTCTTTACAAGACATAAGATTGTGTACAGCAATACTCAAAACACTGTATTGTTGGGTTTACAGCATATATAAATGTAATATGTATAACAATAATAATACAAAAGAGAGGGGAGAAAATTGAGCTATATTGCAGTAAAATTTCTATTATTTTACCAGAATTAAATTAGTATTAGTCTCAACTAGATTTTGGTAAGTTAAGATGCTATACTCTAGGGAGTAACCATTAAGAAAATACATTTTAAGATAGTAAGAAAAGTTAACAGAGGAACTTAAATGATATACCAAAAAATACTTATTTAACACAAAAGAAAGCAATAAAAGAGGTACAGAGAAACAAGGAAGAGAGGGGACATATGGGAGACAAATAGCAAAATGGCAAATGTAAATCCATACATATTATGAATTACATTAAATGTGCATGGCCTATATATCCCAATCAAAGAGTAGAGATATTCAGATTGGATACAAAAAGCAAGATCCAAATACATGCTACATGCAAGAGACACACTTAGGTTCAGAGACACAAATAGGCTGAAAGTAAAAAGATGAAAAAAGATATACCATGAAAACAGCAACCATAAGAAAGGTGAAGCGGCTTATGTGGATATTAGCTAAAATAGATGTAAAGATAAGAAATATTACTAGAGACAAAGAGATGTTTCATAGTGATAAAAGAGTCAATAGATCAGGAATCTACAAAACCCAATTTCCAAGTAAGGTCACATGGGGTTAGACTTCAAGTTACGAATTTTGGAGGAGTCACAATTCAAGCCACAACAAATCCAAATGTCCAGCAACTTTTGTGAGTGGAAAAATAATCTGTGGTATATCCATATAATAAACTACTATTTAGACATAAAAAGGAATGATCTATTGATGCATGCTACAACATAGATTAAGCTCTAAAACATACTAAATGAAAGAAGCCAGATGCAAAGACTACATATTGTATGGTTCCATTTATAAGAAACATACAGAAAAGGCAAATTTATAGAGAAAAATGCAGATCAGTGGTTGCCAAGGGCTTGGGATAGGAGAAGGGATTAAGCAAAAACCAGCAGGAGGAAACTTACCGGGCTGATGGAAATGTTCTAAAACTGCATTTTGATAATGATGGCCAACTACATAAATTTACTAAAAAAAAAAAAAAAAAAAAAATCACCAAAGTGTACACTTACAAAGCGTGAATTTTTTTATAGTATTTAATTATATATTAATAAAGCTATTTCTTTTTTAAAAGTTTCTGGGGATGGGGACCAGCAATCTGGGTTTTAATAAGCCTTCCAGCTAATTCTTATACTAAGGTATGGAAATCACTGCTCTAAAGAGACTGTTTAAAACAAATGAACTTGACATAACATCATTGGCACATCCAAGTCTTATCTGATTCTTACCCATCCAAAGTGGTAGAGGTTCATGAAGACAATTACATCCCCTAGAGGGAATAAATAACTACATTTTCTTTACAAATCTGAATAGCATGCATGTTAAATTTGACATAGAGTCCAGACTTAGAAGTGACCCTGAGATTCAGACCCATATCCAAATGGACAATTCAAGCTTGGCACTTCTAGGTCCCTCAGGCACCCCAGATGCACCCTTTCCTGAATGAGGCTCTTTATCCCTCTACTTGCTTTCCTTGGTAAATGGCACCACCATCCACCCGGTGGCCCAAGCCTGAAACAGGGGAACTACATTTGCCTTCCCCCTCCCTCATCCTGCACTTTAGATAGTCACTGAGGCTTGCATTCCGTTTCCATTATCTCTCCATTTTTTCCAGTAATGGCCTTACGCCAGGACCTTATCATGACTTGCAAATGGACTCACTGCCTTCAGTCTCACCCCACCCCCTGTCAGTCCACACTCAAGATAGTCTAGGGATCATTTTTTTTAAAGATTTTATTTATTTATTTATTTATTTATTTATTTTAGAGAGCGAGAAAGGGCACGCTAGTTGGGGGGGGGTGGAGCAGTGGGAGAGGGATAAGCAGACCCCGTGCAGAACCCACACAGGGCTTGATCCCACAGTCCTGAGGTCATGACCTGAGCCGAAATCAAGAGTCCAACATTCAACTGACTGAGCCGCCCAGGCACAGCCCCCGCCCCTCCCAGGGATCATTCTTACACATGGACATACTCATACTGCTTCCTGCTAAAACTTCTTTGGTGGCTTCTCATCTTTATCAGTTAGGAACTGCTTTTGACTACATGTACCAGAAACCTGGTTATGCTTGTTTAACCAAATAAAGGTGCATTTTTCTCACGTGATGAAGTGCCAAGGTAAGTGGCATATTCCCAATGCAAACCATTGTTAGTTTCTTCTTTTTTTTTTTTTTTAAGATTATTTATTTATTTATTTGCGAGAGAGTCCACATGCACGAGCAGAGGGGGTGGGGCAGACGGAGAAGCAGACTCTCTGCTGAGCAGGGAGCCCAACCTGAAGGCAGTCAGGTAACTGACTGGGCCACCCAGGCACCCCAAACCGTTGTTAGTTTCTTATGTCTTATAGTAACATAATGTGCATTTATAGCTTATATATATACAATTTGAAGATTTGAATGTAATCGGGCACAAGCCCAGTGTTTTCAAAAAAGCTCCCAGGTAGTTCTAATGTGCAGCCCAGGTACCTGTGATTGACAGCTGAGGTCTAGAGAGGATTATCCAGGAAGATACAGTGGGCCAGACTGAGCCAGAGCCCAGGCTGGAACTGCTAAAAATATAGCCTATGACATAGGTTATTGACAAGATTATTAAATATACAGCTAACTCGCAATTACAGTTCGCAAACTTCTAATCGCAGACTGTTCACTCCTGCTTACTAGCCATCTACATTAATTTTTACACTTTTCACTTTCTAACTTTTAAGAATGCCTCAGATACCTCATGATTCTGTGATATAATCTTCCTAGAGGGTTTATTGGTAATAGGTTTCAGTTTTGGGGATTTACTGACATCTGCATTTTAGTATCTGCAGGCAGAACCAGCTAATGCCACTTCTTGTTTCTCCTTTGCTTCCTAACTGTTAGTGCATTTGTTTCTTAGCATTTAAAAACCTCTCTTTGTACTTTGCTTCTTTTGAATTTTCCCTAACTCTGGCATTTTTCTACAAGTCACATAAAAATATGTCTTTTGGGGGGCCCCTGGGTGGCTCAGTCAGTTGAGCACCTAACTCTTGATTTCTGCTCAGGTCATGATCTCAGGATCCTGAGATTGAGCCCCACGTCAGCTCCATGCTCAGCGGTGAGTCTGCTTGAGATGCTCTCTCTCCCTCTCCCTCTGCCCCTCCCTCCCGTTCTCGCTCTAAAATAAATAAATAAATAAATCTTAAAAAAAATATGTCTTTCATAAGCAAAGGCTGTGGTAATAATCCCTTTGTGATGTGAAGGAGATTGATAGAAAACTACATATTTACTGAGAATGATGAAGGTATAAAGGGAAAACTGCCTTGAGTCACAGAAATAAAAATGATTTAGGGAAGAGAAAGAAGAGATAAAGGAGAAAAATAGAAAAATGAACCCTAGGAAAAGAAGAGGAGGAAGGGGAAAAGAAAAGAAATGTAAGACTGAACTTCTGGTCTACCTTCTCACTCACATCCTAACTACAGAGGTCCCCAAACATTGACTTTCATTCTCAGGAATGCCAGAAAGACACGCCGTAAGCTGCTCAGTCATCCACTCAGGCTGCAGTGATATCTGAGACATCTATCCCTCCTCATCATTCCCTATAAAATCAAAGTCTCTCTGGATTACTCGTGCGCCATTCTGACCGTCAGATTCTGGCCACATTTTGGGGCTCAAGACAACCCAAGCTACTTTTGGATTTTTTTTGACTTCTTGGAAATAATGACTCTCAATAGGATTGGCCTGGTACAAAAGTGAACTTTTCAAAATTACCTGAGTACTCTGGTCACACTGCAGTTTGAAACACATGAACTCTGGGGCACAAAATTTTGGGGCAGGAGCACTCCAAAGCCACCATGGAATCTCAAGGTCAAAATGAATAGGCCTGCCCTAATTATTTACTAGACTGGGTCAAGAGCACAAATGGAGGCCCTCACACCATACACTAGATCTTTAAATGATATAAATCAAGATAACAGCCAGATAAAATAGATCCTATCTTCTGGTTTAACAAATATATCTTAATAAAGACCTGGAAGGCAGGTTCAAATATGGCATTCTTGGACTTCCTTGAGTTCTATGTAGGAAGGTGGCAGCGATAGAATGAGAGCCAGCCCCCTGTCCCTGGTCTTTCCTTCTTTCCCCACTGCAGGCTTCATGCTGCACTGAGGGGGCCTATGGTCAAACTTAGGTGTATACCCATGGTGGCACAGTCCATCTTTAGCCTGTCTAGGCCCTGGAAACAGACCGAGGATGCCAAGAAATTCCAATGTCTTAAGTATTCAATGAGTGTTCTAGAACAGTAGTTCTCACCTGGGGGCAATTTTGCCCCTCAGGGAACATTTGGCAATTTCTGGAGACATTTTGTTTGTCACAGCTTGAGGAAGGGGGTGTTAAGAGCATCTAGTGGGTAGAGGCCAGGGATGCTACTAAACATCCTACAAGGTACAGGATGGCCACCACAACAAGTAGTTATCTGACCCAAAATGTTAACAGTGCCAAGACTGAGATATCCTGCCGCAGGTTGGACAACAAATACTGTTCAAGATCACAAGATACCTTGGAGATATTGTGGGTTTGGTTCCAGACCACCGCAATAAAGTAAATATTGCAATAAAGTAAGTTGGATGAAATTTTTGGTTTCCCAGTGCATGTAAAAGTTATGTTTACACACACAGTAGTAAATGTGCAATAGCATTATGTCTAAAAAAATGTATATACCTTAATTTAAAAATATCTTATTGCTAAAAAATGCTAACCATCACCTGAGCTATCAGCCAGTTCATAATCACTGATCACAGATCATCATAACAAATATAATGGATAATAAAAAAGTTTGAAATATTGCGAGAATTACCAAAAACGTGACACAGAGACATGAAGTGAGCAAAGGCTGCTGGAAAAACGGTGCCAGTGGGTGCCTGGCTGGCTCAGTCAGTGGAGTGTGTGACTCTTGATCTCAGGGTTGTGAGTGTGAGCCCCACACTGGGTGTAGAGATTATCTAAAAATAAAATCTTTGGGGGAAAAAAAGAAAGAAAAGAAAAATGGTGCCCACAGACTTGCTCAATCAGGGTTGCCACAAACCTTCAGTTCACAAAAAAATACATCTGCAAAGTGCAATAAAGTGAAGCGCAATAAAATGGGGGTATGCCTGTATTTAAATTCCTTAATCCTGTTCTAGAAGGAGGGGTAAGGATCTGGATGGGAACACCCTCTTGGCTCCACAGACTCTCCCTCACAGGATATCTGGCTTGGGGAGGGACAGAACAGAGCCTTCTAAAGTACGGGCCCAGGGCCAGGGACTCCATTGTGCAGGTGGGAGGGCAGTACTGGGAATGAATTTAGAGTACCTTCTGGGGTCCTCTAAACCTGTAGGAGACAAAGCCCTTCCACTGACCAAAACAGGGGGCTCTCCAGGCTTCATCTGACTATCTCAAAAGAGGACCAGCTCCCTGTCCCAGGGCTGCTCTTTGTATCCAGGAGTTGGTCCCTGGGCTGGTCCCCTGGCCAGCTCATATAATGAACTGAAACCTGACTTCCTAATTTCCTGGAACCCAAAGAAACTTAGACCTTGGGCAAAGGCCCTTTGGCTAGCATTTGCACATTTATGCAACTTACTAGCATACGCCAATTATCTGGCAAATACTAGTAAGTATAAGCAGGAAAATTACGAATATGTGCACTTTCTAGAGGCTGATAAAAAATGGGGATTGTATATCTTTGATAGAGGACGCCTTAGAATCCAAGGGTCTAAATAAGTAAATACGATGAAGTGTAGCCCACGTGCGGCTGAAGCAGCCCCTGTCCTTGTTTCACTCTGGCGTTGAATTAGGCCTCAGTATTTTGTCATCCTTACAAGTGAATCCTCCTGAATGAGCATTAGAAGGAAATACAGATTGTGGTGAAGAGTTCTCAGGAAATGGGGAGGATTTAAAAATCCCACAAAGCAAACGGAACAGAAATCCCCAGCAGGCAGAGTTGTTCTCCTTTAGGTCTGTCCCTTCTTGGTCCCTGTCCTGGTCTCTTTGTTTCCACTTTTCTTTTCAGGACACTTTCCCCATCTCTTCTTTGGAGTCGAGTAGTTCCAGCTCTTGGCCCCAACTTGCCTGCTTCCCTGGGCAAGAAGAACACCTGCCAAGTCACAGGTTCTCAAAGTGAGGTAGCAGGCCAGCAGCACCAGTGCTACCTTGGAACAAGTTAGGAATGCAAGTTCTGGGTTCCCATCCCAGACCCACCGAGTCAAACCCAGCAACCTGCAGTTTAACAAGCCCTTTGGGTGAGTGTAATGCACACTTCCATGTGAAGGTAAACTCACCCCTTCCTCCAAAAACAGTTCAGCCACCTTTGTTGGCATTCCATCAGGCATGCCCTGTGGGGATGGAAGATGAAGACTCTACTCCCCTCCATGCCCCCAGCCCCCATGGCTTATCAAACTATCTTCCCAACAAAAGACAGGGCGGGGAGGAGTCTCAAAGCCCTGTCTGTGCAAACAAATTCATGGCCGTTGTGAAAAAAATTCTAAGAGAACTTAATAAATGGTGCTACAGTCTCCTGTATATCTTTGTAGACATTTCAGAGCACACAGCGAATATGTTTATCCTTAAAATACACAAAAATAGTTCGTACTGTTGGCTCATTTCATAACATGTTTTTGAAATATGTCCCTTGGGGGCGCCTGGGTGGGTCAGATGGTTAAGCGTCTGCCTTCAGCTCAGGTCATGATCCCGGGGGTCCTGGGACGGAGCCCCACGTCCTGGCTCCCAGCTCAACAGGGAGCCGGCTTCTCCCTCAGCCTCTGCCTCTCTCCCCTGCTCATGCTCTCTCTCTGCCTCTCTCTCTCAAGTGAATAAATAAAATCTTTTAAAAAAAAGAAAAGAAATATCTCTCTTGAAGGCTAAGTAAGACTCCGCGTGGGGGTATAACTTGTACCCACTCTGCCCTTCTCCCTGACTGTTGAGGCAGCAGAGCCCGACAACACCCGAGAGATGTGCAGAAGTCAGTGTGCTGACGATTTGGTATTTTTACGGTTGTGGGCCTTGTCAAACGGAAAAGGTGACGAGAACACAGAATTCCGCTAACCAAATTGGTAACGCCGTGTGCTAAGGACTAAAAACTGCAGGGAAGAAAAGGCGAGGGCAGGGATTGAGATGCGCCGACTCAACACACCCTCGGAAACCCAAAACACAAGAAATGAAACGACAAAAAGCACCCCCAGCTCGACGCGTCCCAATTTAACAGATGAGCCAATTTCTAAGAAACAGATCAATGTTCTTACAACCGAAAGTCACCACACAAAGTGACTTAAAATATTAAAGGTGTGCCACGTATACCTCATTTTCCCAGTTTCGCGTACTGTCATCTACGGAAGGGAAGAGAAAGGCCGAATTTTTCCACAATTCCAGGTTTCCGGGCGTTTTAGAGCCGCGGGACGCAAGGATCCCCGCGCTGCCCCTTGGTCCCGCCCCCGGTCGGTCACTCCCGGCCACTCGCGTGCGGACGCCTCGTGGGGAGCGGGCTGAGCGCGCGGCCGGCGATTGGTTCCGGGCCAGGGTGGGCGGGGCGCGGAGCTCCGGCCCTATAAGAGCGCGCGGCGCGACCACCTCGGTTTGCGTCGGCGTCTGCTGCGGCGTCTTCCGCTACCCTCCGAGTCCTCACAGCCTTTGGAACCCGGACCGGAGCGCGGCCTCGCGAGTCATGGAGATGAAGGCCGTGTGCGTGCTGAAGGGCCAGGGCCCGGTGGAGGGCACCATCCACTTCGTGCAGAAGGCAAGGGCTGGGGCGGAGGCCGGCGGCGAGGCCGTGCCCGCGCACCTGTGCCCGGCAGTGGCGGCCGCCCGGGCCTCGCGCCGCTCTCGTCACGCCCCCGCCGCGCCGTGTCTGCAGGTTCGCGCCGCCCGAGGCCTCTGCCCCGCGGCGGTGCGGCGGCCGAGTGCTGAGTCACCGGGCGGGCCCGGCGGGGGCGGCGGTGCGTGGCGAGGCCTGGGCGCGGGTGCAGGGAAGGAGCAGCGGCCGACCCTGGTGGGGTTGCTCGGAGCGCGGGCCCGGGAAGGAGGGCGGAGGCCGGCTGGCCCGAGGGCCTGCGCCGCCTCCGTGGCGTCTGTAGCCCGGGGCGGAGACGTGACGTTTTTGAAGAGGCTGTGGCCCTTCCCTTGCGGGGTCGTTTTGTGGGTCCTGAGGCTCCTGCGGACTCGAGTTGCGCAGTCCCGGGCCTGGCCCGCCTTTGGGAGCAAGGAGTGCGGCAGGGCCGCCTGGATACGGTCGCATCCGTTAGCCCACTTTGGGGCTTCCTTTCCGCTCAGGGGTCTGCAGCTTGCAGCCTGTGGGCACAGCCGGTCCCGGGGCGGGTGTTGTACAGGCCCGGAGCTAAGAGGGTGGCTGGAACTTGGTTAGTTGAGAGGGTACTGAAAAACAGGAATCACGTGACTGTCGAGGCAGCAATGAAAACCATTGAGTCCTGAAGTAGTAATTAGTGAAAGCTTAAATGTGCACACACACCGAAAGATAGTCGTGAACCGGGAGCACTCAGACCAAACCATGGAATGAGGATGAGGGGTATTTTGTTATAAAGCAGCTTATATAGTGAGAAGGCAGGGACTGTTTATTTTTCACAGTGATGGGTCATGATAGTTTTCTTAAATGGTGAGAAATTGGTTGGTGGTTACCGCATACCGGCCTAGGGATTCAAACAGTTTTAGCTTTTGCTTAGGATTTCCAGGAGCATAAATAGGAAATGACCCGGGTCAAGTTAGTCTTGCAAAATAAACCAATTAAGCTATGCTTGTATGACTAAATTTGTTTTGTCTGATCAGGGAATTTTCAAGGCTGGTCTCCATTTGTTTTTGACTTTAAACAGGACAGAGACCTTATGTGGCCCCTTAACAGAAAAGTTTGCTGACCCTTGCTGTAGGTCAGGGTCAGGCTGTAAAGGCAGAGAAGATGGCCTTGGACAAAGCTCCTTTTCCACCTCCGGAGATCTGATCGACTCCCTTGTTGGTTGTTTTCCAAACCTGTGATTTTTTTTTTTTTTTTAAACCCCTGGGTGCACAGTAGGCTCATTTGGGGAGCTTTTAAAAAAATGTTGTTTCCAGGGCGCCTGGGTGGCTCAGTTGGTTAAGCGACTGCCTTCGGCTTGGGTCATGATCCTGGAGTCCTGGGATCGAGTCCCACATCGGGCTTCCCGCTCAGCAGGGAGTCTGCTTCTCCCTCTGACCCTCTTCTCTCTCGTGCTATCGCTCATTCTCTCTCTCTCAAATAAATAAAATCTTTAAAAAATAATAAAATAAAACCAATACTTAAAAAAAATGTTGATTCCAGATCAGTTATATTTAAATCTGTCAGGGTGCAGTCTGACCTTTGCTGTTTTTAAAGTTTCCACAGTAGTACTAATTTGCACCAAGAATTGAGAACTGTTGGCAGAGGGTAGTGGGTGGGGTTTGGGAGTTGGAAGTCAGATGTGGAGAGTTTCACTTAACTCTGTTGTTGGGGCATTCATTTAACCAAATTCTCTGTAAAATGGTTTTGAAATTGCTCTACCAATAAGCCCATTGCTGAAATGGTCAAAAAATAAACTGTACAGAAGTACTCAATAGTATTGCAAAACATGGGGTGCCTGGGTGGCTCAGTCGGTTAAGCAGCTGCCTTCGGCTCAGGTCATGATCCCAGGGTCCTGGGATCGAACCCTGCATCGGTCTCCCAGCTCAGTGGAGAGCCTGCTTTTCCCTCTCGCTCTGCCTGCCGATCTGCCTACTTATACTCTCTCTCTCTCTGTCAAATAAAATCTTTAAAAAATTGCAAAACACGTTTTACAAGGAAGGTGCTTGTGATAAGACTTGTCCCCCAAATCTTAGGAACTGATGGAAAATTGTGGTTGTACTTGGCTTGATAATCGTAACAATATTTAATATACGAATGAGATTTAATCTTTAAAGTGGCTTACAGAAATGTGAGAGGACATGAAAAGTAATCTTGGAAATTTATGCGAGGGAGCTTAATTTTTTTCCTTTAATAGGTGGTTTCCAGATTTTCTGGAAAAGGCTTTGTCATTTGACTAAATTTTGCTGTTTTCAGTTGCCAGACTTTGTTTTGCTCCTCCTTTCCTTATGTAATTTCACCAGCATTAGAGAATCTGAGAAGCCTTTGAGGGATACCTTCCCTCTGGCCATGGAGAAATGGCTTGGGTGTTACCTTCAGAAGCCAAGCTGTGAATCCATACATAATTGAGTTTTTCCACCTCACCTGAGTTGCGGGTGTGACTCCCTCTTTTAAGTTCCAAACTTCATTTTGGTGGTGCTGTTTGTACCTGATAAAAGATCCTTGTGTAGTTAAGCATTATAGCTCTACGGCTATGCAGGAATGTTAAATTGGAAATAAATTGTATTTGTTTGGCCTAGAGTGTTAAAATTTTGGATTAATTTCCAATTTTTAAAAATCAGAAATTTTCACTTGTAAGTCCAAATTACTAGCTTTTCTTGAAAACTTTGGAGATCTGCCCACACTGAGCCCTCGTTAGCTCAGGGCAGCACCCTGCAGGACTGAGTTTATATTCCTTTTTGCTTCCCTGACCTGTTTTCAGTCATTTAAGATAACAGCCTGGCCCCTATAGGGTTGTACCCAGGCAGCTTACTGTTGAAATGCTCATATGTGCTCTGTGCATTACCCATTACCCATTAATGGAAGCTTGGAAGAACCTGCCCTTTTGTCTCTGCTGTTGATAACACAGTGCGTTTTGGGGAGAAACATTCATGTTTTAGTTTTTCCAGAATTAAAGCTTAGAAGAATCCTAGTCTCTTCTCAAAAAGAAAAGCAAAGAAGGGGGCAGGAGTTGACATACTGCTTCCGTTGAGCAGTGGTATTTATCCAATGGAAAGTCAAACATTAACCTCTTGTAACTGTTGGCCCTGGCTGTTAAAAAACCTAGCTAAAAACAGAGACACCATCATGTGTATAACTGTGTGGTATGGATGCTGTGTGTATTTTATTTTTGTTCCTAAGATCTCTTAGTTGTAAAAGGTAACTTCCTTAATTTCTTTATGCACTCTGCAGCCCTATTACCTATTACCATTGCCTGCATGGCGATACCTGTGTGTTTTTCTGCTTTAGTGTTTTTATTGCTCTTTCTTTTTGGTCTCGAGTGGAAAGGTTATCTAGGTTTGAGGGCCTAAAATGAGTTTGGAAAACAACAGACCAGAATCAGTCCCCCAGGGAAAGTGGGATAGAATATTTTCTGGCTATTAATAAAAAATATCTATGCTGGAGACTGATAAATACCCACCTAGTGGGTGAGTGGAGAATAGGGATCCTGCGGCAACCAGTTGGACATTTCCAAGGTGTCTTTTTCTTTTCTTTTTTTGATGGCAAATCTGTATGTTTGCTCTATGGAAGAATGTCTGCATGAAGAAAACGAGGTGCTATGTTGGTGCTACCATTTGGGTTAAAAAGTTTGATACATATTCATATTCAGCAGGTGCAAATATAATGTATTCAAAAGCATTTGCAAAATAAAGAAGAACTTATTCTTGTTATATATCCATTGTAGGGGAGTCAAGCCCTACAAAGTCTATAAATCCTCCATTTTCGTGCTCACTCGCCCCTCTGCTAGGTGCGTTTTCTGTGCTATTAATTGTGATACCTGCTGCATGGCTCCTGGGCTCTGAGTGTTAGAGCAAGGTCACATCTCCCTTGTGTTGGTCCCCAACCTAGAACAGTTAAATAGCTTGCTAGAAAAGTGGTAGGCCTGGGATTTGGACACAGATCTTTCAACTCCCACGTCCATGTTCCTTCCATTTTCTTGTGATTGGTAAAGGTAATTCAACTGTTTTCTTTGTTCAGAAGCACTTGCTCTCTCAAACTTTTTGCACTTTTCTTTGACTAAAGGGAAATGGGCCTGTTGTGGTGTCAGGAACCATTACGGGATTGACTGAAGGTGAGCATGGATTCCACGTCCATCAATTTGGAGATAATACCCAAGGTGAGTATTGTGTTGGTCTGGTGACTCCTACTTGTCTCAGCTAGTAAGATAAATAGGACTGGGTAGAGCTACCCCTAAACATTAAAAACCCTCAACATGCAGGAAAAAAAATAAAGTCAGTAGGATTACTAAGGTTAACCTTAGGGAAATGAGCCAAAAGACTGGTTTGCGACTCTTAAGTGTGGAAAGGAAGGGGAAGAAGTTGATTTTTTGTGTGTGTGTGTGTGTTTTTTTTTTAAGATTTTATTTGACAGAGAAGGTGAGAGAGGGAACACAAGCAGGTGGAGTGGGAGAAGGAGAAGCAGAAGCAGGCTTCCCTCAGAGCAGGGAGCCCAACAATGAGGGGCTCGATCCTAGGACCCCGGGATCATGACCTGAGCTGAAGGCAGATGCTTAATGACTGAGCCACCCAGGCGCCCCGAAGTTGATGTTTTTTAAACATGTTTATACCTTGATTATAAAAAGAGTCAAGTATTTTTTAAGAAAACAATAAAAAAACAAAAAATTAACCTACTTTCTTACCTTCCATAGTAATCTCAGGTGTTTGTGAGCTGGGGTTGAGGGTGGGTGCTTCAAGCACAGGGTCTGCATTTATTTGCATTATTCTGTAAGAATAGCTCCATCCCTCCAACACAAGAGCCTTAGCGGGACAGAAGGTAAAATCTGAAAAATGAATGTAAACTAGCGGTGCTTTTGGTTGAGTTTCATTTTCTCAGTTTGGGATTAGAAGCAAGTTAACAAAAGCTTATGGGTTAAAATGCATTTAGTCATCTTTTACCATATTCAAGTAACCTGAACTCAGTGTTTACTTTTTATGATGAGAACCTGATTCATTCGTCTTGCTGGATTTGTTTTTATGTTCTATGATTTGGTTCCTATAAAAATTGTGATTTAATGACAGCTTTGATCCATTTTGCCGATTGAAATTCCTCAGGTTGCTCTTTTTTTTACTGCCTCTGCTTTGGGAGGCATTTGCCCTGGGTCTTTGATTTACTGTGCTACTTCCTGTAACCTGTGTGTCTTCTCCCTGGGGAAGCTGGGTTGAAGCTGTAAAACAATGGAAACTCTCCTCCGTCACCTGCTGAGTGAAGAAAGCCTGTCACTAAAGAACCTCCTGCACTGTGGTGGTGGTTCTGTGAGAATGGCTTTCCCTGAAGCACAGGAGTGCCATTTTTCCAGAATATATTCTGAATGCCGCCCCTTGGAATTCTGTGAGGCAACAGCCTTGGCTCATAGATAGAAGGTGCCATTTATATTCTGCTTGCACCAAGTAAAGGCACCAACAGTAGTTGCTGGTAGTATGTTGCTGGGGAGGTGAGTTTCTTGTAGTTAAGGTTCGCTACCGTATAAACCAGGATCAGAATCATGGGATTTTAATAATAGAAGAACCATGAAGATCAAATCCTGGCCCTCTTATTTTACAGGGCAGTGAAGAAACCAAAGCCCAGAGAAGGGTATTAGCTTTACTGGTGTTATAGAAATTGTTTCTACTGCTTGCCTGTTTTGTTTATACTAAAGTGTTGCTTCCTGTTTTTATGAACCTGGAAGTCATGATGGTAGGTCAGTATTTTCTGTATTTGAGGTTTTAGCAATGACCAGTTTCTTTTTAGAATTTATTTTGAAATCCTGATTCATAATTTGGCTACCTTTGTTTTTGTTTTTGGCAAATAGGCTGTACCAGTGCAGGTCCTCACTTTAATCCTCTATCCAAAAAACACGGTGGGCCAAACGATCAAGAGAGGTGAGTGACAAAAGTGCTTTAATGCTTACTAAAATTATGGCGATGGCTTGTTGGGATCCGTATGGGTGTACTACTTGCAGATTGCATGCTAATGTAACTGTGAGTAGGCCTCCCCATCTCTGCTCTTAAATTTGTTGCCCCCCCAAGTAACCCCTTGGCTCCAGGTGCTAGAGCGGCTTACTCTCTGGGCTGAGGAATTGACAAATGGGGACAATTAAGACGATTTGGTTTTGTAGCATTTATTGAATATAGAACTAATACAAGTGCCAAAGGGAACTAATACAGGAAATGTCATGAATAACAAACAGTACTGTCAACCACTAGCAACATAAACCATTGTGAAACATAGGAAGCCTTGTAGATAAAAATTTGATATTGAAAATTCAGTGAGTCCATTTGTGTGTTTCCTGAGAGCCTTTCAGGAAAATATTAAATTTAAGGACAGGGATTAATTTATTTTAATAACAGAGGCCTAGCATATAGCATTCTTAGCCATGCCAAGTATTAACAGGTGTAACTCATTAACTCAGAATTTACCCTTTGGTACTTTACCTCTGACATTAGAGATGTGCCCCCATCCCATGATTCTTCCCAGAGCACTACTGTGTAGATTTGAAGCTTTGTTTGAAGAGCAATGTGTCTAGAATATCAAGTTGTTTCTAGTTGTGTATGTTCTAAAAATCTGTCCGTCTGGAAGAGTGGGTCCTATCTGACACATACCATATCCACCTCTTAGTGTCCACCCTTATGTATCTGACTCACCAGCTAGCCTGATGTTAAATGGAAGTCAGTCCTAATTCCTGATGCTTTTTCAAAACTGTTAGGCATGTTGGAGACCTGGGCAACGTGACTGCTGGCAAGGATGGTGTGGCCACCGTGTCCTTGGAAGATTCTCTGATCGCACTCTCAGGAGACCATTCCATCATTGGCCGCACAATGGTGGTGAGTTTTCATATGCTAGGATATGCGTACCATTTCTTCTAATACACAGACATGTATCTTTTCACGAGTTCATGATTATTAATCCTGGTTTCTAAGGATCCACGTACATTGTACCTTTAGTTCAGATTAGGAAAAGCAATTACTTTATTTGATGATTACAGTGAAGGTGAATTAATGATGTAGGTGGTTATGACACTCTTCTATGGAACTGTGGTCGTTAAGTAAGTTACATTTGGTCATATTAGATGTGTACTGTGGAAACAGAAGTAGTCTTTGTCTAGTTTTAAAATGGCCAGATTTTCCTGCCACAATTGAGTGTCCCCCTTATAGTTAAACATTTTGTTAAGTCTAAAATCTGAGCTGGACCTTAGTGTTAGTATTTTATTCATGTCTGCAGGTCACCATCACTTGTTTAACGTGTGGGAAGCGATTGCCCTGAGTTACCCACGGGAGCTGCATTTGGTTCTCGCAGACACCAAGTAGCGTAGGCTCTGTGTTGCCTGCCCCAGAGGACAGTTAACGTTCTGTAGTCCTTTCCTTCCAGGTGACCCTAGAGTTTTCTTCAGCTATAGTTGCGAAGCAGAAAAATCATTGATCAATGTTTGAGGAGCCAAATCTAAAATACTATTTAAATAGTTGAAGATACTTATTTACAGACTCACAGTTCATTAGGCACATTTTTGAGTTTCTTTAAATTCACTTTCATTCCCCCCCCCCCCAAAGTGTTTATTATAAAAGAAGGCTATTACTCAGGCTACTAAAATTTCTCCCAGAGGATTCAAACTGGCACATGGCAGCCTGTAACACTTGTCTCGGGTTTTTAGTATTTCGTTTAGATAGCAACACTTACCTAGTGTTTACAACAAACTTAGTCTGTATCATGAAGAAAAAGCTTTGAGTAGTAGTTTCTACTGTTTACCACTAGATTAAATATTAGCATATTTCCTTGCTAGGATTATCTTAACATGATCTTTTCTAATATTAAGTGGTTCTTAAGTCTTTTGGGTATTGTTGGGAATAGGTGGTAATTATTTGACAGTGCTATGTTAATGTTCTTAAAACTTTCTAAAGGTCCACGAGAAACGAGATGACTTGGGCAAAGGTGGCAATGAAGAAAGTACACAGACGGGAAACGCCGGGAGTCGTTTGGCTTGTGGTGTCATTGGGATCGCCAAGTAAATATTCCCTAGGATGTGATCTGAGTCCTAGTAGCTCCTATGTTACCTTGCTAGTTGTAGAAATTTAACTTGATAAACATTAAACACTGTAACCTTAAAAGTGTAATTTGTGTGACTTTTTAATTGCTTTAAGTACCTGTAATGAGAACTGATTGATGATCACTTGGAAGATTTGTATAATTTTATAAAACTCCTATTCAGTTAAAATTGTCTGTTTCAACGATCTCTGTATTTTGCCAGGCTTAATAATCATATATGGGTATTAAACTTAAAATTGTCTGAATTTCTTCAATTCTCATTCAAGCCCGCAATAAATACACCATATGGCACTGAATTTTGAACCTATTAAAGTATCCAAATTGAAACTCTGAATTAGCTCTTGATACTCATACATAGAGCTTGAATGGAACAGATTTAGTAATACGTTGACAGACACTACCTGTTTCATAGAGGTCGCTTTTCAGAGTGTTTTAAATGAGTTTAAATTTTTAGCAGCTGGTCTTTTAGCTAACACTAATAACCTCAACTTGAATCTTGGACAGATAGATATCCTTTGTCAGTTTCAGGGAAATTAAGGTGGTTTTCCTGATTAGCTACTTAGCATTTTGATTCAAAAGGTACTTGTTTATTTTAAAAAGATGTTACGGTTTGAGAGAACCCTTGGATAACTTTTAGTGAAATTGTGAACAGCAAGTTATAGCCTCAGCTAAGAGTAAATTTACCTACCTGCCAAAATGGCACATTATCCACGTTTTATACACCTATGAACATTTAGTTTTAAGTAGAGGTTGGCACAGTCTGCTTCCAAATTAGCCATTTAAAGAAAGATACCATAGCATTTTAAGATGGAACCAAGGAAATGTTTGAATGTGGGTTATGTCTATTTAAGAATTTACACATCCAGTTAGTAAATTTTAAGTCTGGTTCTCTTATTGTAAATAATTATGTACCTATGAGAAACTTTTCAAATGAAATGTTAACCTAATTCAGGTTTGACTCTGGATTACAGTTATTAACTGAAAATTGTAGAATATTTCTGAGAAATCAGAAATAAGCTACAATTCTGATTGATCATAAATACGTACTTTTATCAAATGTGGGATATTGGTTAGGAGAGGAAAAGCCAATGTGGAAAAGGACAATTTGTAGTGTTCTCAAAGTTTTAAAATTGGTGTTTGAACCACATGCTCAGAACTGGTTAAAATCACTGTCAGAATTTAAACACAGTAACAGATTTCACTAAAGTACAGTCTGGTGTACCTATGTGGGATAAGACTCACATACAGGGCCTCACTTGTGAGCCTCAAATGTAATCACTACCACTTAGTACTGGGGGGGGCTGTCATGTGCAAATAGGATGGTTCCAATACCTTACAATTGGATATACGGGTTGTCAGTCCTTGAAATCTGAACACTAATCAGATGTGTATTTCTTTCCAGAAGCAGTTTCAGTTAGGACTTTTAAACCTCACAGGTGGGCCAACATCAAACGAAGGACAAGTTTTATAATTGAAGTGCAGATATTAACTTGGATTTTCTCTCTAAAGTCAGGAACACAAGAACATTGTCCTAGATACATTCTCCCCATCAAAACAAAGGTCTTGCTGCAGAGTACTATTTAAAAACCAAATAAAGTAGCTTCACCTGGGGATGGGGGCAAAGAAAAAGTTACCTGCTCAGCACACTAAAACTAGGACAGTTTAAAAAGGTAATTTAAGAAAAAGAAGCTTCAACAAGGCCATAAATACTTGGGACTGTGTAATGACAGGTCTTTTCCTTGGCACTGGGGAAAGCAGTTTTATGGACTATTTTAGATACAGGTTTGATTTGGCTTTGGACGTCTTCAAGTAATAGTTCTTGGAAAACCTACATCTATTTTTCCTAGTTAACCCGACAATTTAAACAAAGAAAATACTTTGTATGTTCTTATATGTGACAAAAAGTTCAGTCTACCTCTGCCCAGCAGGGGAGTTTAAAAAATGGTAAAGAAAGGCAACAGTCAAGGCTTATAAGGAAACAATAGGTTGCATTTAAGTCCTTAAACATATAAAATAAGACAAAAAGCTTTTAGGTTGCAAATGTTGTTAACCTTGATTTCTTTCACCCTTCTGAAAAATTTAATGGGATGTTAAGAAAACACTCAAACTTATTTCTAGTAAGTAATACCCAGGCAATCAGATAATTCTATAGTACAGTCGGGTACTTTGGGATCCAGTTTTTCCCCCAGCAAAATTTCTCTTTACAAATTAATTAGGGCAACATTTACCACAAATCCAATGGCAAAAAAGAAAACCTTGATTGAACTGCAAACTAACAAGCTTTTCGATTAACATTAAAACAACTAACCTTTACACCTTATGATTGAAATGCTAAAATTCAAAAGTATTACAAATGAAAGTGTTTGAGAATAACTACATAAAGATGTCTATTTCCATCAAATAAACAAGTCTAATTTAGACTCCAATACAGTATTAACAGCTCAAACTTTGATGGTGAACAATCCTTTTCCACCTTAATGCAGTGTAGGAAGAATAGCACACATTAAAGTTTGTTATGAAAATAGAGTTTATTAAAAACATCCCTATTGTTTTGAGGAGCTTTCACCGTTACCTTGTCTTAAATTAAAAAAAAAAAAAAAGAGCACTTCTAATTACGATTTGTAAACTTTTTAAAGTCAAAACTTTTAAAAAGTTACAGCAAAAAGGGTAATATTTATTCATATTTTCAGTATTTTTTGTTATTTTGTGGCTATTTTTAAATAGAAGGGAAGCAATCAAATTGCTTACAATTCCCCACCAACTACTGCGGGGCTGTGATATAGCAGGAGCAAATATAATACAGCATCTGTACACCTCAAGCTCTACACTCCCGAAGTGTCACTGTCACATTTTGACAAATTCCAGTCTCTAACGAGGAGCCTCTGCTGCTGAGCCAGAATCCTTTTCGGGTTCAACGGATGAGGTAGCCTCAGCAGGTAACTCTTCAGAAGATTTTACAACTGCAGACTCAGACTCCCCCTTATCAAGTTCTGAAACAGTGTCTACATTTCCCACTTGGCTAATGGGAGGTTCAACGGTTTTGTTACCACCTGCCCTGTCTGTGACCTCAGGCTTCTCCTTTCCTCGGTTTTCTTCCTTCTCTCTACGAGACTCTCTATCTCTAGAATCTCTCTCTCTGTCCCGATGCCCACTAGAGCGTCTATTCCTCTCTTCCAAGTCTCTGTGCCTGTCCCGGTCAGGGCTCCTTCTTCCCCACTCTCTCCTTTCACGATTACTATTCTCTCTATCATCATTACGGTTCCCATACCGTTCCCGGTCATTTTCCACCCTATTTCCAAAAGATCTTCTTCCAAACCTCTCTTGGTCTCTACCTGAATTGAACTGCTGCCTGTTATCATTTCTAAACGGCTGTGGCGGCGGCTGCGCGGACGGCGGTGGCTGGGCAGGCGGCGGCTGCTGCGGCTGTGGCTGGGGTGGCGGCGGCGGCTGGGCGGGTTGCTGCCTGCCGTCTCTGTCCTCGGGGCCCCCTGGGCCTGGCCCTGGGCCCCCAAGCCCTGGCATTCCGCCCGGCCTAACAAAGGGGCCATGCGGTGGAAAGGGACCTTTCATTCCATGAGGTGGAGGCATTCCAAAGCCCCCCGGTCCTGGAGGGGGGCCTCTATGCATCATATGTGGCGGCATGGGGCGAGGTGGCATCAGAGGAAACCGCTGTAAGTGAGGTGGAGGCATTCCTGGAGGGCGCTGAAGTGGGATCAGGCCAGGGCGGGCACCAAGAAGACCAGTGGATGGTGCCTGGAGCCCAATCACGGGACCAGGTGCAACTCCTTGAGTACCTAAGAGAAAGTAAAAAAAAAAAGTATGTAAAGGAACAGAGAAGATGGCATTCTGTTTTCACCTGTTTGCTGTGGAGCCTGAATCAAAATGAAGTTCAATCCAGAATCTTCCAATTTTGTGTTGTTTGCCAGTCTACCTGTGAGAGACTCGATGTGATGGCCCAGTAACAACCATGGCACAGTCTTAAGATATATATAGTATATATCTATATATATATAGATACATACACCTATATCTATATTCTATGAAGATATATGTCTATAGAATTAGTGTATGGATAATTAGTATCTAACATTGGTGGAGGTCAAAATAAGCTGGAAGAGGAAATTACAACATAGCAATTTTGGAAAGTCTCCTGTAGCCTTCACTAGCAGCTCTTTGGTAAAATACTTTTAAAGTACTTAAAACATTTGAGAGATACAGTAGACTAGGCCTAATGAGAAAAGGCTGAACTATCTGAGCCAACTGAAAGCCAGCTCAGGTGTACCCTTAGGAAATTTTACACTTTAAAGTCTTAATACTAGAAACAAATGGGGTCACTGACCCAGAAAATCCACCGAAAAGGGAGGTCTCTTCGATTCCATGTCGTTTAGATGCCGTACTATACAGCAATAAGCATCACTGGAACAGTAAATGCTTATAAAATAAAGATTGATACACCAGTGGAGAGTTTATTTTTACAGGTTCTTTTTCAAAGCACAGCGTAAGGTGTAACTTGCTAGGCCACAATGACGGAAGTATGCTCAAAGTTCAGCCATTCATTTTCTATTCATTCTTCCTAAGGCGACAAGATGAAGTTGGTGCTGTTGACAGCAACAAGGACGTACTGGTTTTATTTCCCATTTACATGAGAGTTTGCTCACATTTTGGTTTAAGTCATACAAATTCAATAATCCAGCATTTAAAATGATACAGCAAACAGTATGGATTTGTTTCAGCTCACCACAGTAACAGAAAGGCATCATCTCTCTCTTTGCAAATAGCATCACAAGCCAAATACAATGACCAACAGGAGTAACTCATTACTGTAACATTGGAAAATATTCCAGATGTTGGAATATGTACTATTTACCCATGTACTGCAGAAAGGCCCCTGAGCAAGTTATGGGTTATGATTCTTGACCAAAAATGGTAAGAGAAATGCTTGGGTGATGCTGATAAAAAACCAACCCAAGAGCAAACCCAGTACTTTAATACTAAGTACTTCCCACCCCACCCCCCGCCACCCTAACATCAGCTTGAACCACTTCCTCCCACGTGCTTCAGCAGCAAACATTTAACAAGTCCTGCTCGCTCCTAAATTTTTCGTATAAGAAATACGAAACAAAAGTCTAACTTCAGTTTCTGCTCCTCACAACATGTGGTCCAATACTGTTCTGTCTGACTTACGACTAAATAGAGTGGACCTGAAAATATATGTACAGCAGTTTGTAACTTTTAACATGAAGACTCAACAGCCTTGGTATTTACTTACACACATCATCTTCCTTCAAATGCTTAAAAAGAAGTATGGTGAAGTATAATCTCACTTAGGAATGACCTTGGACATGTGCCTCAGAAATGAGAATACCTGCCTCTTGTTGAGATTAAATGGGATAAAATACTAAGAGTGAGCTCAGAGCCTTGTCTATAGTTAAATGCTGAAATAACATCTATGTGACAGGTGATAAATATCCTAACATTAAATATCTGACTTCACTAAAATGAATGCATTTTCCATTTCTCATTTGGATCTTATGAACCTCTTGTGGCCCCCCAATATCCATCACAATTTAAAGTCAAGCACTTTGGTAGTTGGGAAAAATGTGAATGCACTGAGCTTCCACCTGTCAGGTCTAAAAGTAAAATATGCTAAACACCACTGTAAAAAGCTAGAAATGGACAAATGAGGCACAGACCTTGTCTCTTCACACACTCTTCAGACTCTCCTTGAAAATCCCAATGAACATATACAGAACCTACCCACATTTCAGATCGAAATGAATTCACAATGGCAAATGCTGTTCCTATCACTTAGTAAACCCTGAGAGTATACCATACAGCGGGGCAACAAAATCACCTAAGATACCTCCTTTCTCTCATTTTTAAAAGAAATTAGTCCCAACATCTGTGGACTGTAACTCAAACAACATAAAATGTATGTCCCGAAGTTACTGCCCTTTTAATGGAGATAACCACACACAGATACACTCAAACAAACTGAGCTTTACTTTCCCACCAGCCTTTAAAATGACCACTGTTTACTCTGTTCTAGAGTTCAAACTGTGTGGCACATTCGAGTACTTCATAGGCTCAAGAGGCCAATGCCAAATTTTTAAACAATGATAGAAACATGGGAAAGAGGTTCAAAGCATCTTATAGTAACAAAAGAATCAGGTTCAGATGAATCTTTAAAAGGAAACAGTGACTCTGGCAGGATAATGGAAAGGTCCCATTTCCTGATTTACCCAACACTGGCTTCCTCAACTACCAATCTGACAGTGGCCAAAGGATGCAAGGCCACCTCACCCTTGCACACAACAGATAAATTGGCAGTGATACTCTTTAAAATACAAACCTGTCTCTAGGAACACCTCTCTTAAGTCCTTTATAACATGCATATGAGAGTACACAGAGATTGCTTTAATAGGGTTAACATTTATAGTAATCATGTATTTAAACTACCTACAAAGCATAATATTTTTATAAAGCAAAAATATTGCCTAATTCATTGATTCTGTATGTGTGGACATTTGTATTTGCCTAAAATACTACATGCTCAAATCCCTTCTCTCATTTGCAAATAAGCAGATTTCCATTTAATCCTTCACGGACCAACATTTAGATTCCCCTGACAGACTATTCCCATAGTCCTAAATGTTGACCTTCAGGCCACAGAAGTGATAAAATTGTGATTATGTTTGTTGGCAGTCAACGTGTGTTGTTTTTATAATGAAAGCTATATTTAACTAAAAATACACCAGGTGGCTTAAGCCCTCGATAGGCATGCTAGCTGAACTTCATTTTTAATTAGGCAAGTTCACATTATACATACATCAATGGACTATATCATGAGTTACTCTGGTCTAAAGGGCATTCAAAGCAATTATTCATTCAATCTGGAAGTATAACATGCAATGCCACTGACAAGTCTTCTAGAGTTACAAATTAAGAAAAAATTAACTCACACATACTGAACGCCTGAACTTTTACATTAACTCGTTTCATGTGCTAGAGATACAAAGATAAATAGGACATAGTCCTTTACTTCGAACAGGATATAGCCTAAGTAGAAAGAAACATGCCAGCTGCTGGAAGAGATGGCACAAGCTAGTATGGTGGCAAAGGTGGAGCTGACGAAGCTGGTGTGCATGAATCTGAGTGTGAGGCTTAGGGTGTCTGAATGGGGTCTCAAAAGAAAGGAAGGAAGGAAGGAAGGACATCACCAGACAAGAGAACTGCAAAAGAATATCTTCTGACAAGAGAGAGAAAACAAATACGCAAGATGAGGTTTATTACTGAAGCAGCAAGCGAGAATTTGTGCGAATACAAACTTACTATCAGCTAAACTGAAAGAGGTTCATGAGGCTGAGCAGACGGGCTAGGGCAATTCAGAGGTATGTTATGCCGCTGCAAGAGGAAAGCTGGACTCTGACTCAAAGTGATGGGGCGAGGACCAAGGCACTATTTGCAGGGATGATCCCGTGTTCATTTTTGAAAGAGCTTCCTAGCCAGCAGTGTACAGGAGAGCCAGGAAGGGAAAGACAGTGGAGAGCTGGGGGACTATTACCCCCAGAATCCAGGGGACAGAAATGAGAGACTGAACCGCGACAGAGGGGACAGAGATGAGAAACACAGCTTTCTGCTCTGAATGAGTAGATGGAAGCATCAACACAGTGCAGGAATTTAGGAAGAAAAGCTATTTTTGGGAAGACAGAGGACAAATTTCTAGCGAGAGCTAGAGGAGACTGAGTTAGATCTGGTGGAAATGTGCAGAAGAAACTGGTATGTGTATCTAGAGTTCGCAAGAGAAGTCCCAGTGTTACCCACAGTTCAGGTGAGAAAAGCGAAGAGTTCAGACCTGAGGAAACACTACCTTAAAGTCTCCGAAATTTTAATACAGCAGATTTTAATGCAAGAAAAGGACAGCCCCAAACGTCTGTATTCAAATTTGAGAAGTATAAGAAATACGTTGGAGTTTAACTCAAAATAACCAAGACTTAACTGTGAATATTCCTATGAGTAAAAAATAAGACACTTCACAATTAAAAAATAAGTCAAGTTTAAAGGGGAGGTGCCATTGCTACATAGCGCAAAGCTGTCCAGAATTATGTGACATAAAGAACAGGTAAAGGCTAAAGGGGCAGAGAGGAAGGGGAAATTGGTACACATTTGGAGTCCAATGTGGACCTTGAAATCTCAGAGCATAAATAAGGGACACAGTCCTTCTGCCTAACAGGTAACTTTCTGCTAAGGACTGGGGACGGGGGGGGGGGGGAGGACAGGGAGACACATAAAAAGTTACTAAAGGTTTGAATTAAATACTGCAGGAGTGACCCAAATGCATCAGTTAGCTGGATGCCTTTAAAGAGGATGTAAATTTAAGGGGGATCTTTTAAGGAAAGCAAGGACTTGCTAGGTGAAAAGGGGAGGAAGGAAAAATATGAGAAGGAAACATCGAAAAAGCAAGGCAATTCTACCTCTTCACCAACGATCTTGTCCCCCATCCTACCAAAACCACTGCTTCTTTCAAGTCCTGGACCTTTTGTTACAAATACCTGTATTACTTCCAATTTCTCATCTGCAAGCATCCCACTCTCTGACCCCCTTCTCAGAATAATTTTTTATCTCACAAAGGTCAGGGCCCCACAATGCCCTTCATTGTCTTTACCTTCCCCTCCTTACCTGCCTCGGAGTCCATGGTTCCCCCTCACAATTGCCTGGAAAAACCTCGATGGTTCTGAAGGCAACTCTTCTACCTAATCTGTACACAGACAGGGCCGGGGGGGCCCCCCACCCC